ATTTCCCTTTTTTTCCTTTTTAAGTGCCCCTATAAATGCCCATGTACAAGCTCTTCACAACACAATAAATTTTTGCATTTTCTGAATAGTATAAACTCAAAATCATAATCAAAACAGACACCAATCAACAAGGTTGGGAAGGAAGAAAGAAACTTGTTTGACCAAAAAGGGCTAGAACTCATACCTGAGCGTCTTTTATAGCAACTGTCACCATTCTTCCCCCTTTTCGAGAAAGTTCTTCTCTAATATGCGAATCCAACATATTTTTTGAGACAGGAACTTTTACAGGCTTCATATCCCCAGATGGCATTCTAATAATATCACACGGCCCCCTGATTTCAGTAACTCGAATAAAAATGTCCTGGCCGAGTTTATTTTGTGGGATTATGTAATAATTCCTCTTCTGATGATATCAATAACAGACCTTCCACTCAGAGGAGAGGAAAGTGCATCCTATTATATAAAATGTAAAACAGAAAGCATCAATAAATCCAGATATAGAAGACTAAAAGATGCAAAAATCACAAAATTAAGAGAGAAAAAAGAGAACCATGTATACGGATATATGCATATACAACTCGCTTATATGCATGCATACATACATTTGGATATACATACATACGTATGGATATATTTAAAAATGTATGTAATACATATATAAGTGACCTACATATGCATATACATAGATAAAGCAAGTAAAGAAAAAAGGATGTAATTCAAAATATCCAAAAAAAATAGGGATTTACTCTTTTTCTGTAGTGCTCATGGACATTAGTAAGATGGTGCCAGCTTGCATAAGCTTGAATCATCATATTAGCATTAAACACTGAGACATTCAAGTTGAGATCTCTCATGGAAGTGAGACGCAATTGAGAAGTTGCACCTGGGACATCACGATCATATTGATATCTGCAAGTGACTAAAAGTTAGACATTCACAGCTTGTGTACTGCTAAGTAATTGAGTTAGGTGACCAATAATTTCAAAAATGTAAGAGAGCAAAATCCAAACTTTATTGTTTATATTTTGACAAGTAGTTTCATTGGTAAACTCACTGGGTAATATAGACAAAGTACAGACTGAACGTCCTTCATGCTGAAACTTATGACAAACTTACCCACCATAAATTGTGCTGAAAAATTATTATTACTATTGATAGGATAAGTAGGATTTAAAGTCATGTGTTATAAACTTTTTTGTGGGCTGTTCTTATTGCAAAAAAGGCAAATAAAGAGCTGATATGGTTTTGATTTATCCTATTTTAGAAATCTATTTATTAGTTAGGAAATCTTATCTCTTATTTAGGAATTAATTTTTATTATATGATTAAGGTTTATCTTATTCTAGAAACATATTCCTTAGTTAGGAAAATTTATCTCCTATTTAAAAATTTAATTTTTATTTTGGAGACTTACCTCCTTATTAGGAATCTCCTTTATTTTTGCTATGAGAAATCTAAATAATAAAGGTTTCCTATAATATAATGCATCTAATCCTATTTAAAGAGTTCTAAAATTAATAAAGAGGTAGCAGAATTACAATTACATACAGATATTGTTGCTCTCTCTAAGGAGGTCCAATGTGTCAATCTCCCTTTGATGAGTTTGGAAATAATTCATAATAGATCGCTCAAAAAATCATAACAAGGGAAAGAAGCAATATCCATAATCAGATTATCCGGTCAATTGCCTGGTAACAAGATTCTGATATCAAGAACATAACATCATGACTGATAAATATACCATATCAAATAATTTAGGTAAATACCAACTAACCCAAATGCCTAAGCCAGTAAGAAAAGATCCAAATTCGCTGTTTATATTTTATGATATATAAACAATGGTAATAAATAAATGAATTGATAAAGAAATAAGTAGCAAAAGTAATACATAAATGTGAAGAGGCAGCAACTTATACACCAAAATGAAAGTAAATTAAGTGCACACATAAATAAATAACAAATCTAATCAATCAGACGAGGGAACAACGAAATAAGAAACCATTCATTTTAGCACGCATGTCATATAACATCCAAGAATGTCTTTTAGCTAAGTCCACTATTCTACTAAAAAGAAATTACCACAAAATGAGGATGGAAGATAAAAAAAAAAATTCAAATGTATTCACTTTACAACTGTTTCTCAGATCATAGGAGGTTAATAAATTTGACTGTTAAGAATATTAACAATAATGGAGGGGAGACACATTTCTATTTATCCCTCCATTGTGAAACAACTTGGGATCTATAGAACAAAATGGTTCATCCTTTTGGACTTAGATGTCTCACGCCTCCAAATATTGGATAGCTTTTTCTGTCTATAAATTCGTGGGAAAGCAGTGAGGAAGGCAATGAAAACCTCGATTGCAAGGGGCATTATTTGCTGGTTTATGGATTTATGGCTTGAGAGGAACTGTAGGAGTTTTGATGACTGCTATGGACCCTTTCAAGAGTTTTGTGGAAGGGTCCATTTCTGGCATTTTATAGGCCAATCCTCATGGAGATTAAATTGATAGAGCCATCTCAGAGCTTCATCAGAATTGGATACAATTATTCTCATCCCATAAGATGAGTCCATTTTTATACTTAGGTGACTTTTTGAGATGATGATTCATTCTCCATATTTGTAATTCTTTTCTCTCTTCTCTTAATAATTGTATATAAAAGAATACTAACATTGTTAGACGCAGTATATATATGAAATTTAGTATTTAAGCATATAATAATAAAATATCATGAATAATTAATACTAAGGTTTCCTCTTTTATGCTAAGAATCATGTATATCAAAGGCCTTTTTCTTTTAATAATATACAATTCCATTCTTCCACATAATGTAGAAAAAATATCATAACTTTTTTACAAATACTAATCAGCCTTAACCACCAAAATGAGAAAAATAGAAAGAAACCCTAATGGGACTAGCCTCACCAGCAGGAGATCACCACAGCAACGTCGACCACCACCATAGCCACAGCAGCCAAACTTCATAGCTTGGGAAAACAGCTGCTGCACACACCAACCTACTCCCTACTCAGCTGTGCGCCGCTGTTCCAATCCTAACCTGATACTTCAAAGTGAACTTCATGTTCCACAACTACGCATCAATCTAGTATCAATGACTAAAGTCTCACGAGACTTAAATTACAAAATAATATTTTTTTATCCCATAGTGACTTTTAGGATTAAAACTCCAGGAAGATGATTGGATATGTTAAATCTAGGAAAGGATTTTACTACTAGATGGACCTGGACTATATCTCTCCTCCATCTCTACAAACTCTACTTACAAACTCTAACTCTATTAGAAACAATTTGGAGACCTATCTTTTCATGTTTTAACGATTATGTTTGTTTTTTTATTTGGAGACCTAATAATGAAAATTTGCATTATGATATGTGTGGATTAGTTAAATATAGACATGTAATATTTTTTATTAGCAATAGAAAATGTATGATTTCATTTTTATTATTCCATAGTGATATTTGGGCACCATCGTACATCACTAATACTTCTAGGGCTCAATAGTTTATACCTTTCTTCGACGATTGTACAAGAATTACATGGCTTTCTCTGCTTAAGTCTAATTGTAGCGAGTTACATACTATCTTAAGTTTACAATATGTTTAAAAATCAGTTTAGAATACATATTAAAATATTCCGCACTACAATGCAACAGACTTTTTCAATCATCACAGTATCATCCTTTTTCCAGCTAAGAAGGGATCATTCATGAGTTTTTATGTCTCCCTACCCATAACAAAACAAAGTGGCAGAAAGAAAGAACAGTCACCTTCTTGCTACCACCCAGGACTTAATTATTCTAGAAAACATTGCTATACAATATTGAGGAAAAGTAGTTCTCATTTCCACCTACTTGATTAACCGATTATCATGAAATGTTCTAAACTTTAGAAGCCTTATGAAAGTTCTTGTAACAACATATCTAGAAATCGGTGTCAAAAACCACACGATCCCTAGAATATTTAGATATATTATCTTTGTTCGAATATATTAACATAAAAGAGGAAAACTTGAACTTAAAACCCTAAAGTGTGTGTTGCGAGATATTCTTCTTCCAAAAAGGATATAAGCGCTATCATTTGTCAAAATAAAATTTCATGTGTCTGCAAATATTACATTCGTTGAGATAGAATCTAATTTTTCTTATCTTTATCTTCAAGAAAAACTACATTGGAAAATAAGGATAAGAACTTCTTTTTCAAACTTACCTTTTTCCCTCCACAACCTCTATCTGCATCACCAGCAGCAGATAACCAAACTCTAGAAACCATGCATGACCCAAGGTTACTCGGGTACTCAAGGAGGAAGAATTAGAATCTTGAATGAAATAGGTTCAACATCATAATCAAGTTTTGGAAAAGAGAACTTTTAAAAACTCCGCACATTATAATATTGATGTATCTATTGCAATTTGTTAAGGAACCAAAGGAAGTACTGAACATTCTCTTTACCTAATTTCACAATTTCTTTCATTTGATAAATTTCCACTGTCTTTTAAGAAGTTTCTCATGATTTTAAATACTAAATCTATCCTGAACTCATAAAGCATTATCCTGTGAAAGATAAAAAAAATGTTAAAATGCAGGCACTGAGAAATTAGAAATAAAGACGGTTGATCTACCCTCTAGGGTGCAAATAGGTGTTCACCATAAAATACAAAACTGATAACACAATAGAAAGGTACAAAGTAACATTGGGGGAAAAAAGTTATACAAAAACATATAGAACTCATTATTAGCAGATCTTTGCATCAATTGCAAAAATGAATACCTTAAACGACTTCTATTCCAAGTTGTAAACTTGATTGGCGACTACAACAGTTAGATATGAAAAATATTTTCCTACATGGAGATCTAAAGGAAAGAATTTATATGGAAATTCCATCTAGATTTACAAAAAACTTAGCATTCTGTAAAGTTCGAAGACTAATGAAGGTCTTGTATGGACTCCAACATCACTAGGAACATGGTTTAAAAGGTTTCAAAATGTGATGCTTGTAATGGGATTAAGCAGAGTCAAGGAAATCACACTTTAAGCATTCATAACCAAGAGAGATGACCACTCTCCCGTGTATGTTGATGACATTATTGTGGAAAACATTGATAGAGAAAGAAAAGTAGGGAAAACCTATTTCTCCTATTTTCTTATTATGACAAATTACATATATATAGAGAGAGAAAAAACATAAAATTATACTAACAATAAATCCCATGAAATCTGGAATTTATTTAAATCTCATGAAATCTATGATTTATTTCAAACTCTCCTATTTTAGAAACAAATCTTGACTTTTCAAACTTATCTTTACCAACACTCCCCCTCAAATTGGTGCAAAGATGTCTATTATGTCCAACTTACTCACTTGATCTTCAAATGGTTGACTCAAAAGTCTTTTGGTTAATATGTCTGCATTCTTCTGCGTAATAGGCACAAAAGTAGTACATATTATCTTTTCTTCAAGTTTTTACTTTATAAGGTGTTTATCAACTTCAACATGCTTCATTCGATCATATAGAACTAGATTATGTGCAATATCGATCGCTGACTTGTTGTCACAATACAACAACATAGGCAAACTTGCACTTTTTTCAACTTCTTCTAAAACCCGTTTCAACCACAAGACTTTATATATACCTTGAGTCATTGATCCGAACTCTGTCTCAGTGCTGCCCCTTGCTATAACATTTTTTTTCTCACTCCTCCAGTAACCAATATCCTAAGGTTAACCTTCTATCAACAATAGAGACAACCCAGTCAGCATCTGTATATATTTCAATCTCTCTTTTTACATTTTTTTGGAAGAGAAGTCCTTTTCTAAGTGTACCTTTCAAATATCTCAAAATATGATACATTGTTTCTAAATACTCTTCACAAGGAGAATGTATATA